CTCTTTTTCTATTATTTGTAGTTTTTAGAGGGAGACTGAAACTCGGGGACAGGATAGCAATTCTGCCTCAGGGGTTGATTTGGGGGAGCAGATAGATTGAAAGATGAACACAGGCTGTCAATTCAGTCTTTTAAAGACTAGCCTTTTGTTTTCAGAAACACATGGCGGGTGTAGTGGGGAATAAATTAGGATACAAATCATGACCAAGGACTCATCAGAAACGGATCTCTCCCCATTTGGTTTTTCCATTTGCTGAGTGATACTTAAATGAAGGCTCCTGAATTACCAAACTGGGAAGGAGACAGTTCTAATGTTGCTGCCAGGCCTCAGGTGGAGAGTCCTCTGACTTCTGCCTGTTCAATTCGTTTCTCTTCCCAGCAGTGCTGCTTGCTTTGCCCCACACTTCTGTAATTCTTTCACTTCCATAATAGTTGAAGAATTAGGGGCTATGTGACCTCTGGCCATAAAATTCTCCAGCATACTAGCTTTCCGAATTTTAAGAAAGAACCTGAGACTTTGCATTCCTGAAAAGCTTGTGGCTTGGTTATCTTTGTCCTGCCTATCTCACAGCCACCAAACTTAGTCATTGAAAGTTGGAGGGGTGTGACGCTGACCTTTGCTCCCCCTGCTGGCTATGTTAGTTTTCTCAATCATGTTTATTAATTTATGAAGGCCACACATATTTTTGAAGTCATTACTTGGTGCTAGGCAGAGGAGAGGGGGTGATTTATAAAAGTATCATAAAATCTTGTGAATGTTTCCTTTTCTGGTAACAAGGTCCATAAATTTCATAAGCTTATCAAAGGGGTCTGCTGTACCTCATAAAAGATGTTAACGTTAACAGATCTAGCTCAGGCCTCTCATTTCTCCAGTGAGGAAACTGAGTCCCAAAGAAAGGTAGAACTTGAGTTAGTGGCTGATCCAGACTATAATACAAGGATTTTAGGAGTTTAGAGACATTTTCTCCTGTAGTATCAGAATTCTTAGTGACTGTGCTGTCATGTTTTGTATCTGTGTCAGATAGGAAGACTCTTTCTAGGTATCTCTTCCTGCCCGTCAGTTCTTCCTAAGATGTGTTCAGATTCCTCTGTATAACCAACATTTGGTCTCATGTCAGCCAGTTCTGTGGCACCTGTGGCATGTCTATTCTTTCCTGAGCTGTGCTTTTGAATCTAAGCTAACCCTTGCGTAGTGTGTGAAAACTGCTCTTCCCTGTCAACGCCTGTAGCTAATTCTTTTCATCGGAAATCCCTAGGCTTGTGGCTAGCAATTGGAGCCCTCAACCCCAGAGGAGCTTTTCATTTTAAAGAAGTTGGCACAGAGTCAGGGAGCAAAATACCTGCTTAGCCATGTGGAGCTGAGAGTGGTACCTAGGAATTTCTCCTTGTAGTTTTTACTGTCTTGATTTTACTTTATAAGTAGAGTTGAAGGAAGAGCATCTTGTTTCCAGTTGATCAAGATCTATTGCCAAGCCAGGGTACTACTTTTTGGTATGGCCATAAAGATGTTTTTGTAAGTGGGGAATGAAGAACTTTCTAGGAATCTCAACCAGATTCCTACTTGTGCCCTTTCAGCTCTGTGGATAGCATCCTCTAGCTCCACAAAGGCTCCTTGGTCCCGCTTCCCAAAATGAATCAGATTAGTCATAGCCTCCAAATACCCTGTCTACCTGCCCTAAACACTCCCTCCGTTCTCTCCTGCACATCATGATCTTACCTCAGAGTCTTCTCTTACTTTATACATAGTGAACAGACTAATTCAGTGCTTTTTGATAGCTCATCTCCTAGTTTGGCTTACAAGACACACAAATAGAGAGCTTTTATCCAGAACTGCCTTTTAAATATTTTTGCCAATGATTAATCAGTAGGAAGCTGCAGGTCACCCGAAGGCCCACAGGGGGCAGCACTAGGAACGGCTCTTCCCCTCTAGTCCTCTGTGTGCTGGGGGAGGGGGTACTGGAAGATGTTGGTGTTTTTCACCAGGCTTCAGAAGCCCCTGGGTCGAGATCAAAGTCTCCTTTGCAGCAGGCTAGTTGCTTGTTCAGCGTTGTTTCAGCTCTCCTGAGGAGGCCAGTCTTGTTTTCTTGATAATAGAAATGTACATGAAAATCTATCAGAGCCACCAAGCCTCCCACAAACCAATCTGCCTAAACATCATTTCCAGGCACCATTAGCATTTGAGGTGAAGTTCTGTTATACACTCAGGCTGTGGCTCTCTGAAAGTCAGTGCATCACAGAACTTTGTCTCGAAAGCTTTCTAGCAGCTACCCATTTGGGAGTGGGAGGAAAGAATAGACCTTTTAAATCCTTTGAGGATGGCCCTAAGCTTGTAGGGTCTTTCTCAGTAATCAGCATTTAATGTGTTACAAGGTCAAACCTAGTCCATTGTCCAGGAAGCCCATTTCTCAATAGCTGAGAGTTATTTATAAACTTGCCCTTTGCAAAAACTTAAAAATGAAATTACATTATCAGTAATGGCTTCTGGGCCCTTTAAACTGGTTGGTTTTATGGTGTGAGAGGAACTCCTGGCCCTGCCCACTACTGAGAGGTAAAGGCCCCAGGCTGAAGTGGAACCAGCTGCAGTCAGGAGGTGGCAGGAGAAGTAAAGGAGAAGCTGCCGGCTCCGCCTGTAGCAGAATGCAGAATTAAAGCAGCATTGAAGCTCTTGCCTAAATTCTCAGCTTTATTTCATGTAGTGATTCCTTTGGAAGTTTGAAAGGACCAGCCTTTTCTCTAGTGCCTTCTTACCCCTCGCAGAGCCATAAGAAGTCAGATCTGGTCTTCTTGCCTTCATTTGCCTATCTTTTATTCTTCCCAGGAAGATTCAGTATTTTCATTGTGAGGGTTTCCTTGATAACATCTTCTAAGTTAGTAAAACTAGCCAGGAACAGAATGTAGGGCTCTGTTTCTCTTTTCTGCCAGCTGTTTTAGGCACTCACACCTCGCTGGCCACAAAGGACATTGTCTAGCTCGCCTAGTTGGCTGGTAGCCATAAGGGTTTTTCTTTTCTTTGGGATCCCGTTCTTTGTAGGGATGCCAGATTCTGTGGCTGCAAGAACCAGTTAGTTCCGTATGCCAGTTCAATGCCCAGTTTAAACGATTAGGAAGGTGCTGTGCATGTGGATAGAGAAACAGAGCCAAAGATTTCCAGGGAAAAGATTGTGGGGAAAACTATTCCTTCTAAATTTTCTTCCATGTGGACTTCTTTTCCTCTATTAGGGAAACCCATTCCCATGGGTGTCCTTCTCTTCGTGAATTGAGGAACCAAGTTGCTATAGAACTGAGCCTGCTTTATGAGACGATCTTTCTGTGGGGGAATTAGGAGTTAGGAGAGCTGCTTCTATTTGTGGCCTGTTTATTAGATGAGATTCTGTAGACGACTTTCCTCTGCTAGACACAGGGTTCCTTTGTTTGCGGGAGGAGTTCCTCAAGCCTTGTTTATTCCAGAGAGTAATGTATATACAGGGTGGGCATCTGTAAGGAGCGTTTATCAGAGGAGAGAGAAGTTGGTAGTAATATCGCCCAGAATGGCCACACCACATAATCTTCCTATACCTGGAAGTCGAATTATAAAAGGTCCCCTAAATGTTTACTGCATCAAAAAGTTTTTACTTTATTCTCAAACTATATGTATTCTCATAGTAATTCAACAAATATTGAGGGTTTAGTATGTGTCAGGCATTGTTTTGGACACTTGGGATAAATCAGTGAGCAAAACAGAAAAATTGCTGTCCTTTAGAATTCAAGTGGGGAAAGCTTACAGTCTTCATCACCTTGTCAAAAGACTGGGTTCTCTTTACTCTTATTCTTAACCCCCTGAGCTAGGGTTGGTCCTTTGCATGGAACCATAAACCTGCTGGAGCCTCGTAGGACAGTTTACCTTTATAGAGGCTGCAGTTTCTGCATCCTTGGCAATGATTCTTTCCTCCTCACTCTTGGGTCTTTGTTAAACACATGCTTGGAGAATATATTTGGCCCCTGTGAGGACTGTGGGTTTCCCAAGTAAGCCAGGAAAGGGAGGTAACAAAGCAGCAGCCTTGTCTTACAGCACAGGGGAGGGATATCAAAGGTAAGTAATGTTGATTAGCAAGTCAAGGAATGTGAGCCTGCAAGCACCTGTACACATACCCCTGCCTCCCCTCCCTCCTCCTTTCTCTCCTGGTTACCTCGTTCCCTACAAGTTACAGGAGTAGAGGAGCTTTTTGCAAAGTAATATGCTTTGCAGTTATTTGCGTTTGAGTATAACCATTAAGACCGAGGCTGTGATGCCTTTATGAGAGCCAGTGTTGATTCTTGGTAGTGAAGGAATCCTGCTTCATTTACCTCCAGGCGCCAGAGTGTTTCTTAGAGGGATCCTCATTTCATTGCTTAACTTCCGTAAAATTCAGATTGGTTTGTCCTGGCAAGTTAAGTGGTGGTGGTCGTGGTGTAATAGAGGAATTGGGATCATAGGGGGAGTCTTTGAAGATGGATGTCTCAGTGGGCTGCATTCAGAATTGGTGTGTGGGCGGGTGTGTGTGTGTGTGTGTGTGTGTGCGTGCGCGCGCGCACGCGCGCGCGCGCGCAGGCTCTGCTCACTCTGTGGGTGGCTTAGGGAAGGCTTGCTTTATGCCTCTGCATTGCTACTGCATTGGGACTGCAGAAACTTCCAAGTACACTAGGGCATTCAGCCCTGTTTTCAGATAGCCTTGTGCAGTGCCTATTAATTAAGCTGGTCACATTCCATACCCACCTGTGCATGGGAAACCAGGGAGGGAGGGTAATTTGGAAAATAACTGTAGCATAATATTTGGAAATAACAGCATGACCTACCTTGATTAAGCACTCTGCGAGTCTGGCTCAAAGAAACTGTTTATCTGATGCTGCTTTGGAGTCTTTTGTTAAAATTCCCCCTCCCTCAATTCAGTTCGTTTACCACTTGGTTGTTCTCAGTGGGAAATGTCAAAATCTAACCAGGTTGGGATGGAGCACATACAGAGGCACCCCTGTATCCCCTTGCAGCCCCAGTGGGATTAGGAGAAGGTTTGCCAGTGGTGGCAGGAGCCTTCAGGACTGAAGGTATGTTCATATCTCTTCAGGAACCCTCCCTGTATACTGTCAAAGCCATCCTGATTCTGGACAATGATGGAGATCGACTATTTGCCAAGGTGAGATTCCCTTTCAAATTAGTTTAGGAGCAAGGCAAAGACTTACTCTGAGATTTGAGTCTCGGGACTGGCCCTATTAACTCATATTCCTTGATACTATAATTTTGAGAATTCTTCCATCTTTCCCATGTCTACTCCAGATAAAACCTAAACTACTTCTGTCTTAGTTGCCCTTCTTCTGTACATGCCATCCTCAGACTTTGACCTCCTTTGTTTCTGGCATCAGAGCAGAGAAGAACCTGGGAACCTTGGTTTCTGAACAAAGCAGTGTCTAGATGTGAGAAGCAGCTTGCCCCTGCCCATCACCTCTGTAACTTCCCCTTTTACCTTGTCTCCTGCCTGGGGTTTTCCAAGGAATTTTCTTGTAGTTCCAGGCTTCCAGTCCTAGTCCGAAGTTACCACCAAGTTGTTACCTCCTGACTTCCTCAGTGTGATGTTTCTAACTTTGGAGCTATTAAAAGAGAAGAGAAAGGACACCCCTCTCCTTTCTCCCTCCATATTCTCCCCCTCCTGTAGAAATTTTTTCTGTCCCTGGTGTATTAACTCTGGCAAGCATAGCATAAATCAATCAGCAGGTAGAGATTAGTTTAGAATTCACCAGCTGTTCCTCCCTGTAATTGGATGTAACTATGCAGGACACCTTTTGAAACAGTTATCCAGTTACTAAATGCCAGACCTGTCATAGGTCTTCAGCTGACTGCGACGGATTAGCCCCTAAAGAGCAGAGCGATTTAGCAGCCTGCATCTCCGCCCCTTGCCAGGGAGAGCTTGGGAGTGGGGGCTCAGCAGTGTACTAGATTGCCTCCTGCTTCTTTCAGTTTGCAGAAAAGAAAGCTAAGATATGAGAGAGCATAAGGCATGGTTTGCCTTTCTTGAAAGGAGGTTTTTGCAGCCTTTCCCCATTCCTCAGCTTCATACAGTGAGTGAGGAGCTACAAGAAGTTTTCTGTGCTTTGAGTGCCTTTTGTGTTCTCTAGTACTGCTCCCTGACGTGGGGTGGTTTCTGGGAAGCACTCAGTGAGCGTGGTCTCAGGATTGCTCACCTAGAATACAGACGGGCAGAACCTCATCGTAGGACTCCTAGGCCTCTGCCCTTACAGTCTTAGAAATGTGAGGTGGGATTGTTTAGGGCTAAGTCCTTAAAAAATTATTCTTGTATTTGATTACTTACTGCTCATTCCCTGCCTCTGTAGTTCTTCCTTTTTCATGTCAATATTTCTCCCTTACTCCATGCCTTAAAAGGGAGAAATGCAAGTTCTAGGGCAAAACACAGTTACTAATCATGCTGGGCTCCCAGCTCTAATGACCCAACCCGTCTCCTTTCCCTCTGACCAGTACTATGACGACACCTACCCCAGTGTCAAGGAGCAAAAGGCCTTTGAGAAGAACATTTTCAACAAGACCCATCGGACTGACAGTAGGTCACTTTTCCTTTCATTACTCCCTGTGTTGGAGGAACCATGGTGGGAAGGGGGTGGCAGCAGGACCGCGGAGAAAGGATAAAATGACTCTGCCTCCTTTTTCTCTTTTTTTCCTCCTCCCCTCATATAATAAACTCTTCAGAAATGTAATGGGGAGGTGAGTGTACCTCACGCGGGAATACCGTGCTGGAAGGTTGGCTGTTAGCTACCTGTCTAGTCCTTGGATTTATGAGCCTCACTTGACAAATTTAACTGCAGCTCTGCTTATTGTACCGCATCCATTAGGGCAGGTAAATGGAAGTCTGTAAAGGTGACCGCTCTGCATTTTCACCTCCGAAGGATCGACTAGTATCCTGTCTCTTATACAAGGAGGGAAATAAGGGTAGCTGGGGGAGGGTGGTTAGAGGAGAAGATACATTTAGACTTCCCCAAGTTGATACTTCTCTTCTGCTACAACCTGAAAAGAAAAAACAGGTCAACTTTGATCTTTGGGGATCATTATGACCAACAGTATCTCAGCCCAAAACAGCTGGATACCAGTAAATCATGGTGACTTCTTCTGTCCTACTTCCTTGTCTCAGGCTACCCACTGTTTCTACCTTTTCCCCCCAGGTGAAATCGCCCTCTTGGAAGGCCTGACAGTAGTATACAAAAGCAGTATTGATCTCTATTTCTATGTGATTGGCAGCTCCTATGAAAATGAGGTGAGAATCCCCATTCCTCTTTGCTATCTCTGATCCCACTTCCTAAACCTCAGACAGGACATAGTTACTGGTTCTGGGCCCTAGGAGTACTATGTTTCTCTGGCTTCTGAGTGGGCTCGTGAGGTTATCAGAGATCCCTGCCGGCCTCACAGAAATGGCCTAGCAAATTAATCAACCTAGAATAGAAGATTTCCCCAGATCTCTTTTTTATCTCCACGTGGGAGACACCATATATGTTTAAATACATACTTACATATAATATCAATGGCCTTTCCTGGATAGTGTGTTTTAAGATGGATTTCTGAGGTACAGTCAAGGTTGGGGGGGATGCTTGCTCCTGCTATGAAGGGTCCACACCTGACTGAGTTTGGGTCACTTAGCCAACATTCTGGGTCACTTTGAAGCCATGCATTCATTTAAAATGGGTATGGTCCTTGAGACTTGAGACTTAATACACTTTAGAAGACTGAGTGTAGTCCTAATCTGCTTCCTATCAGAGGAAATGCTATTTACCTAAGGTAACAAATTCTAGGAAAGTATATAAGTAAAAATAAGCCCCCACATAATTTGAGGCAAAAGTAAAAGCTTAGAGAACCAACGCGCTTACTGAGCTCTAATTGCTATAAATGCTTTGTAAAGTATACTGTTATTGAAACCCTACAGCACTTCTATGAGTTGTAGGCCTTGGTGCTTTTGTTTTGCAGATGAGGAAACCAAACCATGAGGAACCATATGAAATTACTAGTATTTGACCACTGTTGAACTACAAAAGTAGCAGTTTCATGTGATTCAACCTAATTTTCTCAGGGTTACACATCTAGAAAATGGCCCAGCTGGGATTTAAGCCCAAATCTGTCTGGCTCCAAAGCCCGTGCTCTCTGACCTCAGCTATTTTTTGGTTAGTGACTTCTTGTCCTAAGACAGCAGGTAACACATACAGTTGGTAAAAACATGTAGAGCACTCTGACAGGAAAGTTCTGTTTGAACAATCTGGCCAAAGAGAGACATCAGATTGTGGGATCATGTGGCAGAATTTATTTCTGTGAGAAACCACAGGTCCTCTTTCTGTTCTGCCTTATACTTTTGGTCCTTTTTGAAAGCCATTGTCTTTTGATGCTTAATGAAATAGAGGGTTTTGTTTTTAGGTAGCAACTTTCAGGTCCTTGAACCTTATCCTTGTGCTGCTTCTGTCTCCCAACAGCTGATGCTCATGGCTGTTCTGAACTGCCTTTTTGACTCATTGAGCCAGATGCTGAGGTGAGCAGTCCATTCTTGACATCTGTTTGGGAGAGAAACTCATATTCTTCAGGCCCAGGGATTTGTGGGGAATCAGCAGAGTCTCCAGAGAGCTGATTTACCTTGAGAAGTTGGGCTTATTATTTCAGAGTAATTTGCGCTGATAGGGAGGACTGGATGGAGAGGCAAGTATGTCCCTCTGTGGAATAATTCTCCTAGGAAGGGAGGTTGGGAGGGAGCAGAATCTTCACCTCTATGTCTACTCTGTTCCCTAGTGGCTGTGTCAGAGTTCTAAGCACCCTCCAAGTGCTTTCTTGGGCTTCATTCTTTACATCTGTGCTAGGGAAAGGGAAAGCATAGAGAAATGTCCCAGATGAAACATCAGTACCTTGGGAATGGAGGCAACGCTCCCCATTTTTCACTTCTAGCCCTCAGTTTTTCCCTTCCGTAGAACAGGAAGAATGTGCCATTTGCACTCTCCTCCCCTCCCACCTCTTCACCAGTCCTCTGTTCCCCATGTAGATGGACAACAGAAAAGATAGGAGATACTTTTCTTGAAAACATACAGGGATCTGAACTTCATTCCCCCAGCAGTTCCCAAGTGAACCCAGCACAGACAGCCATCCGGAGCAGAGCAGCAGGCATTCTCAGCCCCACAAAATCAGCAGGGCAAGTGGCTCAGATTTCCTCAGGAAGGGGATGATTTATTTCTTAGCCAGGTGAATGAATAGACTTCATTTGGGGTGATGTAGCGAAAGAAAGAGTCAAACTGACGGATGTGACTGGCCACATGCACCAACCACCGGATCTGAGGCTGTTGGATGTGGGCCCTGACTGGTCCCAGCCCCGCAGTTGGGCTTCTTTTTAAGGCCTGAGCAGAGCTGGTGAGGGAGGGGAAGGAGGGAGAGCAGAGAGAGGCTTAGAAGGTTTGTCAGAGCTTGAGTGCAAATAGAGTTTGCACTCCACTCCTCCCCATCTCTCACCACCTCCAGATTGAGTTTTAGCTCTGTTAATTTCCTTTTTCCCACCTACTGATGTCAACATTTATGAGCAATGTCACGAGCAGCATCGTGGCAGGTAGGAAAGAAATAATAGCTCTGGATAATCAACCTTAGAATAGTCATAAATTAACTGTATTTTTTGAATCTCTTTCCTGACATTCCTGATCCTTTCTCAGCAAACAAGTAGGAAGGGGTTTAGAGTACATTAGCCAAAAAGTTCTTATTTGCCTTATTTACTTCTTTGTCTGTGTGGTTGATGGAGACATTTACTGGTCTAGTTTAGGATCCCAACTCAGATAATGTTTTAGGATTCCTTTTACACACGGGCTGTTTTTTTTTTCTTTTTGGGGGGACTCAGGAAAAATGTAGAAAAGCGAGCTCTGCTGGAGAACATGGAGGGGCTCTTCTTGGCTGTGGATGAAATCGTAGATGGAGGGTGAGTTCTCTGACTTGGCTGGACCTCCCTGGACCTGGGGTGAGGGGGTGAGGTAACTGCCCCTATGCTAAGGCAAGTGGGCTGAATGGCCAGAGGATCCCCCTGGCCACTCAGTTGGTCCTTCAGGAGAGAGGGAACGATGGTCTCTTCTTTGTCTTTGTAGGGTGATCCTAGAGAGCGATCCCCAGCAAGTGGTACACCGGGTGGCATTAAGGGTAAGCAGGAGTGTGTTCCCCTCCATCCCTCCATCTACTCACTCTCCAGGGCCAGACCTGCTGAATGTGTCTAAGGGTCTGAGCTTGTAGAACACATACAGCCTTCTCCTTCCCTTTCAAATTCTCATTGTCCCAAAGAAGGGAAGCAGAAGGAACATTACTTCCACCCCTGACTTGGTACCTAGCATCTCATATGGTTTTTGCATAGAGTGGACATTTAATATATACTTATTGAATCAATGATGAAATAAAAGAAACTTTAATATTGATGGTTCTGAAACTATAAAGGAATTTGAAGTTGGCTTATTCCTTTGGGGATAGATCGCAGTCATTTGAGGCAGAGGGGTGTCTTCCTTGTCTTTTAAAGTCTTGTAAAACTGGGGACAATACCTCTCCATCAGGAAGTACATATTGGCTGGAACCTCAGTCCTTTTTTGTGCTAGTTATATCATAAGGAGCCTTTGAATTAACCAGAGAAGGCTCCAAGTCCAATGGGAGATAACGGTGGGTGCAGAGAGATCCCACCAGCAAATTGTGGGGGTGCAGAGATGTCTGAGCAAGACAAATCTCCCCATTCACAGAATGTCCCAGCTCTGACCTCCACAGAGTGAAGGCTGACAGTGCCGGGTAATGGGAAATCTTCTCCCTTAACTGCTGTGGGCTCTATTTGCATAGTTTAATCTTCTCCTCTAACATATGTCTCTGTGTGGCAAGAGAGAGGGTTCCCCCCACCACCACCACCACCAACTCCCTCCTTCCTCTTCTCAGGCTGCTGTTGCAGCAGTTTATTTCTTCAAATTAACATGCTGTCGTTACCCATCAGGCCTTGCGGGATCCATTAAACTACCCCTGGCTCCCCCTCATCCTTTCCCTAGTGATATTGATATTCAGGGAAGGTCTTCTCTGTCTAGGGAATCAGGTCCTCCACCCCTAAGTTATGGATCAGATAACCTGCTGATTACTTGGAATGGAATATATCTTTTAAAAGTCGTCCTGTCTTAAAATAGAGAGGATGGATGAAATGACTGTTTTTTTGCTCACAGTCCCTCTTGCCAAGTAAAATTGTATCTGTACTAGGCCCTACAAGGGACCGGAAGTTTAAGGCATCTGCCCTTTGCTTCAGTTTAAGGACCTTCTTTACTGCAAACTTCAGTCAGGTCTTACTCCAGCTTTCTCCCATGCTGAATGCTTGTCTCTCTGTGCCGTAGGGTGAAGATGTCCCCCTTACGGAACAGACTGTGTCTCAGGTATGACTTTCTCCCTTCTTCCTCTCCAGATGGACTGGGTCACTAAAGAGGCTAGAATAGCATTCAACCCCAACCCACCAAGTCTGAATGAGACTAGAGATTGAAGTCACGTCTTCCTTGGCTCCCTCTTATTCTGGAGAACTGGGACTCATACAGCCAAATGCCCTTTACCCCACCCCAATTCTCCCAGTTTCCTGTGTGCAGTGGCTGTCAGCCTTGGTGTGTACCCTTCAAACCCTCTCTGCCTCATGCCTCATTCAATGATTTATTTCCCAGCAGAGGCTTGCCTTAAGCAGATGGTCTGTGTGCAGTACACACACACACACACACACACACACACACACACACACACAGTCTCTCTCCTCCCTCCCTCTTGCAGTACAC